GTGTATATAATAATCCGGCCACTCAGTGTATATAATAATACGGCCACTCGGTGTATATAATAATCTGGCCACTAAGTGTATATAATAATCCGGCCACTCGGTGTATATAATAATCCGGCCACTCAGTGTATATAATAATCCGGCCACTCGGTGTATATAATAATCCGGCCACTCTGTATATAATAATCCGGCCACTCGGTGTATGTATTTGTAGTCAGAGCCCCACCCGCTGATACGCACCTGAACGCAGAGATGATGAACCTGTCTAACTTGACCTGAGGTGTGCCATGGTCGCTATGGTCAGTATGCAAATAAGGGGGCATACTCAGGAGTAAAAATGTTGCCAGAAGGGGTAAGGGCAGGTGGGGTGTCACGAACGTAACAACAGGTGAGTAGGGAAAACAGGGGGTTTAAAATGTGTGGGGCTCCTCCCACAAATACGGCTAACAAGTTAGCCTCAAACATATATTGTATCCTCAAAATCCTCAGCATGCATTTGATCCAAAAAAAGATACAAGACCTTATTATTATTATTATTATTATGATTCTGATGATGATACTTTGTATTACAATGTGTAGATGTCCCGGAGCGGTTAGCTGGTGAGCCCGGCCCAATGCCCGGTGCCAAGGTGACGTCACCGGCTCCTATTGAACGTATAAGCTGCAGCCTAAACAACAAGTCTGTTTTCTCCGGATGAAGCCGACTTCCTCTTTATAGCCTTTTAATGGGTTTTGTTACACGGGATGAGTGTTGTTATTGCTCTGCTTATTAGCCATGGAAGAGGGCTCTGCACCTGTCTCCGTAATGATAAGCAATACCAGGACAGAGATTATAGCTGCGCATATTGGAGACAGAGGACTAACTGACTGCGCGGCGGCCGCATAATGTACTGCCAGCAACTTCAGCAGCTAATAACTGGGTGGGGGGGATGGGGGATGGGAGGGTTGCTCTTTTTCCGAGCTGACCTTACCCAACCCCACCATCTGCACATTGGGCAGCTCACCACATGGCACACAAGCCCAATGGACAGTCTGTGAGATTTACTTCATAAGCTGTCAGGACCAGTGACAAGTATAGCCATAGCAGCTCATGAGGTTTCTATGGGGCCCCAAAGGCGGGAGGGGGCCCCCCCACTAGTGAGCTTGTCTGATGTCTCCATTGCAGAAGAGCTGACATCGGATGTACAGGATCATGCTTTGGGGTCATGCTGTTGCTAGTTACAGACCTCCCTGCCCTCTCCACCCATCTGTGAAGATGTATTACCTTCAGAGCTTCTGGTCATCCCGGCCAGCGCTGAAATGAACCCTGTATGCCTAACACAGCATTCCCAAGGTTATGGGAGAATGTGGCTGCACGCGGTTACACACAGGCCCAAACCTGCACATCTGTCTGCACCGCCTGTATCCAAGTGCGGGCACCCGGACCCGCATGGATGTGCAGGTTCGGGTCTGCGTGTAACCTCGTGCAGCCGTATCCTCCCATAGGGAGAGGCACAGGCTGCTGCACGCAATTACACGCTGCACCTGTCCCTCCTGGGATCAGGTCTCTGCACACGTGTGCATGTGCGAATGATCCCTAATAAGCAAGTCATTGGCAAACAAAGGGCATGGGAGTCTGGACACTGCTGAGCAAAAAAAAATTTAAATACTGTTCAAGGGGGGAACAGGTTATAAGCAGGGCCGGATTTCCCACAAGGCCAACCAAGGCCCGGCCTCGTGGCAGCAGGGAGTAGAGGGGCACCAGGGGTGTGGAATTCCTATCTCGATGCCCGGGACATGCAGTTCCAGGCACCGGGTGGGTAGTTGTATTCTACATTTAGCCCTGCATAGGGCAAGCAGAGCTAAATGTACAGCAAGTTATAATGGGCCCTTTTCCCCCCAACATCAATACCAGGACCATATCCTTAATAAGGATCTGCTATGGATACTAAGGGGGAACCCCAAACATCGAACAAGGTCCATGAGACAGAGAATCTGACAATCAGCGAGGGAAGTGAATGCCCCTGATGATGTCCATTGATGAAACTTAGGGCGGGATTATGAGAATTGCTTCATTATGTTCATGGCATTCACTTCTCTCGTTCTCTGTGTAAGCAATTCCAGTCCAGGAGGGGGATCATCTACAACTGCAAGACTGAAGGGAAGGCCGGAGGTCAGCATTGAATGCTAATGCAATTGTGAAAGCGCTAAATTGAAATCAAGTTCCTGGAAATCGAACGCTGATCCCTACTTATGCGTAGCAACGCCAATAGTTCACCATCTCTCTGCTCCCAACCCCGTGTAAGAAAAGAAAAAGACGTGCGCGGCACAAAAGCTCACCGAAAATCATTTCCTGGGCTCTGATTCCAGAGACAGTGCGAGGCTAATGATCGCCCTGACAGCCCGGTGAAGGAGGCAGCTACTTAAAGATTTCATTCACATAATTGATGACATGTGAAATTGGTTCGCTCTCTACTTGCCCCGCAGCTTTCTCCAACCGCACTGCGCTTTTTTTTTTTGGGCGGATAATTGAGAGAGAATTTCGGTTGGGGAGAGAGAGAAAAAAAAAATCTTCAAAGTCTTAACAGAGAATAGAATAATTGATTGAATGGGGAGAGGATTATCAGAGATTTGTTAAGAACACCGTGGCTGGGAGGAAGGAGAGATTTGTAAGACGCCAGTTTTCTGCGCCGCCAGATACAAGACCCCCGAGCGCATTTTATTCACATTTGTACTAATTAATGAGCTGCCACTTAATGGGAAATGCCCATAAACAGCCATCACTACTACATTGTTATCTATAGGCTGTATCTATATATATAGATACACATACACCGATCGATCAACCATAACATTATGATCACCCGCCTAATATTGAGTAGGTCCCCCTTTTCCTGACCCATCCAGTCATGGACAGGGCCGGATTTCCCACAAGGCCAACCAAGGTCTGGCCTTGGGGCAGCAGGGAGTAGACGGGCTGCAGAGGTGTGGATTTCCTATCTGTCGATGCCCGGGACATGAAGTTCCGGGCACCGGGCGGTTAGCTGTTTTCTACATTTAGCTCTGCTTTGGGCAAGCAGAGCTAAAGGTATAGCGGGGTAGCCGCCGCTTGTTTTGTACAAGTGATCTCTGTGATTTTGCCAAGATCATTTGTATGCAGCATGCAGGTCTGCCATTTTCCCAGGGGGGGTGGAGGAGTGGCAGGTAGGGGGGCGCATTGAGGAACTTGGCCTTGGGGCAGCAGAGAGACTAAATCTGGCCCTGGTCATGGACTCCACTAGACCTCTGAGGGTGTGCTGTGGTATCTGGCACCGAGCCGTCAGTAGCAGATCCTTTAAGTCCTGTAAGCTGTGAGGCGATCGGCCTCCATGGATCGGACTTGTTTTTCCTGCACATCCCACAGATGATCGATTGGATTGAGATCTGGAGAATTCGGAGGCCAAGTCATCACCTCAGACTCGTTGTTGTGTTCCTCAAACCATTCTTCAACCATTTGTGCACATTATCCTGCTCAGAGAGGCCACTGCCATCAGGGAATACCGTTTCCATGAAGGGGTGTACTTGGTCAGTGACAACGCATGGGTTGGTGGTACGTGTCAGAGTGACATCCGCATGAATGTCAGGATTCCCAGCAGAACATTGCCCGAAGCATTACACTGCCTCCGTCAGGTTGCCTACCTCTCAGTGGTCATAATGTTATGGCTGAATGGTGTATATGAACTATTCCATGACAACGATTTCATTTATGGTTAAGCTCCTCTAATATATTAGTGTACTTTACACTAATATGGCACAACCCAGGGCTAGAACAACTCCTCCGATATACCCCGATCAGCCATAACATTATAACCACCCCCCTAATATTGAGTAGGTCCCCCTTTTCCTGACCCGTCCAGCCATGGACTCCACTAGACCTCTGAAGGTGTGCTGTGATTTCTGGCACCAAGTTATTTGTAGCAGATCCTTTAAAGGAGAACTATGGGGTTAAGTCTTTTCCCCATAGTTCTCCTTAGGGTAACGGGAGGACACAAACTAGCGTCCTCCCGTCACCCTAGGCTCAGTATACCGCAAGCTGTAGCTCTGAGACACTGAGATGCTGCAGCTGAAGTGGATCCCGACAATTGTGCCGGGATCCGCCCAGCTGCGTGACTGACAGCTGGCTCTGCCTATCTAGAGGCAGAGCCAGCTGTACCCGCCCCCTCCCCCATCCGTTCCGCCAGTCAGCGCTGGCGGATCGGAGCGGGGAGGCGGGAATCCAGCCCCTCCCCTGTCACGGCAGAGAGCCGTGACAGGATCGAGAGGTGAGCGAACGCCGGCATGTGTTCGCAAACCTCCCGATCGACTGAGCCGACCTGTGACAGTCTCATTGCCACAGGTCGGCTAGAACTATGAGGTGAGTGAAAAGCACCACCCCCCCCCCCCCCCCCCCCCCCTCATAGTTCTCCTTTAAGTTGTGAGGGGATCGGCCTCCATGGATCGGACTTGTTTTTCCATCACAACCCACAGATGATCGATTGGATTGAGATCTGGAGGCTGAGTCAACACCTCAGACTGGTTGTTGTGTTCCTCAAACCATTCTTGAACAATTGTTGGAGTGTGGCAGGGCTCATTATCCTGCTGAAAGAGGCCACTGCCATCAGGGAATACCGTTTCCATTATACAATACACACACAATGTACTTTCCTTGTCTTGTGCAATCTCAAATCATGCTAAAAGTAAATGTCTATAAAATGTCTATAAGAGGTCAATACTCGATCTTTCCTGAGGTCCTTATCATGCACTTCTTTGCTTTTGGACAGGACGGGAGGATTTTCTGCCGAAGGACAGCTTGCGACTGCCAAAACCCGAGCGTCGACCTGTTTTGCTGCCCGGAGTGCGACACCAGGGTGACCAGCCAATGTTTGGATCAAAACGGGCACAAAGTCTATCACAGCGGTGACAACTGGACGTACAGCTGCCAACAGTGCCGTTGCCTGGTGAGTGGATCCGGTCGATAATTACTTGGAGGGCTTTGAAGCGGAATCCATATCTTTGCATGTTTCCCTTTCAGTAATTTAGCTACATAGAAATGTAGAGGGAGCCGTCACTGGCTCAGTGAGATCGATAGGTCTCTTCTTAACAACTGCTCAAGTAAGATAGCCACATGGGGGCGGGGGGGGGGGGGGGGAGTTTTTTTTGGGAATG